GCGACTCCAGTCCTCTTTGGATCAGGAGTTCAAGGTCAGCTTTGATGCCATAGTGCTGGATAGCCTGGGCTACATGAAGCCTTGCCATAACTTTGAGCACCAAAGAGTAAGACGATGACAGTGTGTTACAAGATGACAAGTGACATGGAATAAGAAGAACACAAAGCAACCTAGAGGTTGTCAGGACACAGGTACAGGTCAACAGGGGTCAAGTTTGTCTGCCCCTGTCTTTGGTGATGCCTCATTCTGCCATTCGATTGCAAGATTGTTGTCAGATCTCAGTGAACAAAACCACAGCAACTAAATTATAACCCAGAGTTAGAAGGTGGTCAGGAAGGAAACACCACCCACAAATATGTGCAAATACACACACACACACACATGCTCACATACACACATATGAACACACATACACACTCATACACACATTCATACACACACAATCACATATACACATGCACACACTCACACACAGCCCTGGCTACATTTCTGGGAATATTGTTAACTTTTCACCCTGAGCACAGATGTGGCTGACTCAGCTCTGTGGGTTTCACCAGCTCTGATTTCAGAGAAGCATTGTAATATGATTTGCTTACGGAGGTTATGAACTTGTCTGGACTTTTATTAGAGGTCACAAGTTTCTTACAGCAAGAAAGACTGTAAGAGTCATTAATCAACATTCTGTAAAGCATCCTCTATGAGATGGCCCTGTTCTCAGATTTGGGTCTCCAGCAGCAGCCAGGACTGGACACCACGTGCAGCGATTGACAGGCCGCTGTGATTATATTCTGCTTGACTGTCGCAGGGTAGAATCAATGTTGCTTAGAAAAGCAGCAATGCTTTTAAAAGCTGTAATGTGGTAGGAAACAAAGAGCCACATGATAAAATATTCAATGTTCTAAAAAAAAACCACCTTGCAGAAAAGTACTATACTTACCAGAAACAATAATTATATTCTCCACATTTCTATTTCTGCTTGGTCCATTTACTTCATCACCTCAAGACACACAAGTTGCTCACTTGTTTGCTGTTCTGAGACAGGATTTCATGACCTCAGACTCCCTATGTAGTTAAGCCTGGGCTTGAACTCCTAATCCTGTTTGCATATATATAGGATAGCAAATTTTGATGTGTGCCACCATGCCTGGCTACATCTTCGACTGAATTGTAGACAGAAGTTTCTGTCCTGACAAGTCTCGCAGCCATTCAGTCCCAACAAAATACACAGAAGTTTATATTATCAACTGTTTGGTCTATTAGCTCAGGATTATTATAAACTAGCTCTTACAACTTAAATGAACCCATAATTCTTGTCTATGTTTAGCCACATGGCTTGTTACCTTTTCTCAGTGCAGCATTCTCATCTTGCTTCCTCTGTATCTGGGTGGCGACTGCAAACTGAGCCTTTCCTCCTCCCAGAATTCTCCTCGTCTGGCCACCCCGCCTATACTTCCTGCCTGGCTACTGACCAATTAGCATTTTATTAAACCATTACAAGTGGTAAATCTTTACAGGGTACAGGAGCATTATCCTACAGCGCTGAATTGCTGTTAAAGAGCAGAAATTCAGATGCAGTCTGTGCATCGGCTCTCAACTGCTGTGGCAAAATGCTTGATATAAACACCTTACAAAGAGGAAAGGGTACTACTGGCTTGCGATTCAGTCCACAGTCGGCTGGCTCCACTGTCTGTGTCTGAGGTAAGGTGGGAAGCAGGACAGACCCCGTTGCTGCAGAGCTGTGTGATTGAGATGACTGCTCAGGAGCAAGGACAAGATGTGATGTAGCCTAAGGATACCCCGCCAAAGATGGGTTCCCACTGGCAGGTGACTCATGGATGATGAAGAGCTCTCAAATCCAGTCGGTCACTCCAGCAGCTCCACCTCTGAACACCGCTGCACTGGGGCCCAATTGTTCCTCACACGAACCTTTGCAGGCAGTTTACATCCAAGCATAGTGGCTCCCTTGTTTTTCCTACAGCAGCCTGACTTGGACTGTGCATTCCCACCTGCCGCCTCTAGATGGGGCTATTGACAGGAAGGACCTGTGAGGTTTGACTCTAGAGATGTCGAGATGTCTTTGGTTAACTGGAAGCCCTGGCTAGTCCACACTATACTAGACCCTGTGCTGAAGGGCAAACTGTAGCTGTTTACACGTCTGTGCTCAGTCACAGATCCCAAGAAGTTGGCTTCTAGAGGCTTCCACCCATCCTCCTGGAGTTAGGTTACTCCATGTTCCAATTGCAAATATCTAGATGCTTATTTATTTTTCAATGATGCGTGTGTGTGTGTGTGTGTGTGTGTTCATGTCCAGCCCAGCTTTGGAAGAAGCATTTTATCAGTGGCAGACATGTACACCACTCTTCAGAAAGACTGTATTATGTGCTCTTCCACACGGCCTCTCCTGGGCTTCTGCCTTCTGCCCTGTTTCTGACTGTGAGCACCTACTGGCTCCGTAAGTCACCACACACAGGAGGACATGTCCCCCACCAGGGCACAGGGCAGCCCACCATTGGTGGGGGGAGGGTTATAGCGAGTAGCCCATTGCCACAGGTGAGGGCAGCTTTAATGCAAGCAACTCAAGTCTCACAGCTCCGTATGAGTTTAGTAGGATTTGTACTCAGTCCTGGGCTGGTCTTTTTATTTTTTTTTTATTTTTTTATTTTTTGGTTTTTCGAGACAGGGTTTCTCTGTGGCTTTGGAGCCTGTCCTGGAACTAGCTCTGTAGACCAGGCTGGTCTCGAACTCACAGAGATCCGCCTGCCTCTGCCTCCCGAGTGCTGGGATTAAAGGCGTGCGCCACCATCGCCCGGCAGTTTTTCTTTTCTTTTTCTTTTTATTTTTTTCTGGGCTGGTCTTTTTCTGTGGCACCTCTCCCCCTTGCTCCTTGGAGCATCTCATTAATAAACCACATGCCCCTAGATTCCTATCCCAGGCTCCGTGTCCGAGGAGCCTCACCTAACACAGGGTGTGTGTGAAAAGGCATACACTGGATTCAACATCTGACAGGAACTTCAGGAGGTGTTTCTCCACGTGCGGAAGGCTCCATGATTGCATTTCCACAAAGAAAGCAGGGCAGATTATGCTTTGGAGTAAGTCTGAGAGAATTACTTGCGCCCCCACCCCCCACTCCCACACAAAGTGACAGTATAATACTCGTATAATGTAGTTTTAGTGAGAACTGATTTAATGATCCAACCGCATTTGAAAAAATAGAAATAGATTTGTGTGTGAAAAAATCACAGTGGGATGTCATGTCGAGGTTACGTAAAGCTGAGAGCTGCAGGGTGGTAGAACAGACAGTGAGGCCTCAGAGATTGTGCCAGGCCTTCTCCAGCAATCAGGCGGGCAGCCTGCCCAGGGGAACATCAGAAGCCACGTGCCTGACGCCACTCCAAAGTCTCAGATTTTCCCGTGTTTAAGGGACAAAAAAGACTTTATACATCTCAAACCCAATCTTTACTATTTAAAAAAAGATTGTATGTATGTGTTATGGTTGTATATTTGTGTGTGGGTATTTTGCCTGCATGTATGCTGTGTACATGTGTACATGGAGAGGACATCATTTTCCATGGGACTGGAGTTACAGATAAGGTTGTGAACCGCCATATGGGTGTCAGGAATTGAACACAGGGTCCTCTACCTGAACAGCCAGTTCTCTTAACCATGAATCCATCTCTCCAGCCCCCAATATTGGCTATTTTATAGCTGTCATATATAGTTGTTGTACCATGGTATAAAATAATAATATCGTATCATAATGGGGTGTTTTTGCTAACAACACACATTCTGTGTGGGCATGTGTGTGCAGGTCCAAGGACAATCTCAGGTGTTTTTCCTGAGTGGTTATTTTCTTTCTCAGACAGGGTCTCTTATTGACCAAGTAGGCTAGGCTGGTGGCCAGGGAGCTCCAGGGATCATCCTGGCTCTGCCTCCTCATCACTGAGACTATAACCTCCTGGCTTTTAAACATGGGTCTAGGGATCAAATGGAGTTCCTCACACTTGTGAGGCATATGCTTTCCTGACTGAACCATCTCCCCAACCCATAATAAATTTTCACATTCCTGGGATAAACGCCAGAGGTTGTAGATGAAAGTTTCTGTCCCACCCAGTCCCAACAAAACACACAGAGGCTTATATCAATTATAAACTGTTCGACCCATTGCTCAGGGTTATTACTAACTAGCTCTTACAATTTAAATTAACCCACAATTCTTATCCATGTTTAACCATGTGGCTTGTACCTTTTCTCAGTAAGGCATTCTCATCTTGCTTCCTCTGCATCTGACTAAGGACTGCGTCTCTGCCTTTCTTCTTCCCAGAATTCTCCTACTCTGGTCACCCTGCCTATACTTCTTGGCTGGCTACTGGCCAATCACCATTTTTATTAAGCCAGTATGAATGACAAATCTGTACAGTGTACAAGAGCATTATTCTACACGAGGAGGTGATGATTGCAGTGTAAGTTATATCTGGTTTGAATTCTGAAAGAGATGGTGACATCTCAGTCCAGGATGATTTGTGCCATTGACGTCCCTACCAATGTATACATGATGCTTCTTATGCTGTCCTTTGGTGTGGTCACATTTTTTTCTTCCAGGTTTTGGTAGCTGTGTATCAATATCTGAACACAGTCCCAGTGTGCATTTCCTTAGTGGCCAATGATAGTGAGCATCTTTGGGTGCCTGCTTGTTGGTTGGGTGTATTCTTTGATGCTATATCACTTCATGGTTCTTTGTTTGTTTTGTTTTGGGTCCATTTTAAAATTGGATTGCTTAGAGTTCAGTTTTACTGTTGAATATTAAGCCTTCTGTATGTATTCTAGGTAGGTTGTTGGCTGCATATGTGATTTGAGGATGCTTTTTTCCAGCATGTCATGTTTTTCTGACACTCTCTCCAGGTCAGAAATGATAATTTTTCATAGCTATCATACGCCTAATGTTTTTATGCACACAACAATTTCATATGCATTGTATCAGTTAATAAACAATTCCAGAGCCGTAGAGAAGACTACACAGTGTTTTATTTTTGGTGAGCCTAGGGTGTGGCTGGGTTAAGGGGCATGTCCCAGTTCACATCCAGGAGATGAGCTCAGACCAGCACTCTAGTCTTGTGATTAATGCTCTTTTAATTCTCCCCAGCATCCTCTCGAGACACATCCTCTTCCAGCCAGTACAAACTCATCAATCTTCTAAGAAATAGACTGCCTGAGCTCTGTTTTAAAAGAAGACGGGATGCAGCTCCTCGTGAGCTCAAATGTCAAACAGCTCTTCTTGGGGGAAGAATCCATTAAAGCCCATCCAGTGGTCAAGATCGTGCTGAAATGGAAAAGGCAGTTTTTCTCTGAGTCATGGGAGGCAAAAGAGGGGGTCTTTCTTTCTCTTTCTTTTAAATAATGTTTAGAATTTTTATTTGTTTGTTTAGATGTATGCCACATGTATGTAGGTACCTATGGGAGCCAGAAGAGGGTGCCAGATCTCCTGGGAGCTGGAGTTATAGAGGGCTGTGAGCCACCAGATGTAATTGCTGGAAACAAAATTCAGGTCCTCTCCAAGAACAGCAGTGCTGTTAACCACTGAACCATCTCTCCAGTACCCGGGGAGAATGAATTTGATTGGAGTTTGGCACCATTTTTCCAGGATAACAGCTCAGGATGGAGTGAGCATGGAGGTCACAGTTTGGAACATTTTTTTTTTTCTTGCCATGCTCCTGGACACCCACATCATCTTCAAGATGCCAAACCTTTCAGGTGACACATGAAAAAAAAATCAATATTATCTCTGCAGGCCCCTTATATATAATATAACCAGAGCAGGCCCCTTCCCAAACTGAAGGACTGTGAGTGGGGGCGGGGCTCCTTCCACTTTATGGGTTTCTGTTGTGGAATATTACGTTAACTATGTAAAGGTATGTTGCTTATGAAACATTTGTTTAATTATGTAAAGATGTGTCACTGTTTCACCTTGCCTGCCTAAGGCACCTGATTGGTCTAATAAAAAGCTGACAGGCCAGTAGCTAGGCAGGAGATGGATAGGCGGGGCTGGTGGGCAGAGAGAGTAAGTAGGAGGAAGAGTCTAGGCGAGAGAGAGAGAGAGAGAGAGAGAGAGAGAGAGAGAGAGAGAGAGAGAGAGAGAGGAGAACAAGGAGAGAATGGTGGAGAGAGGGAGACACTCAGGGCCAGCCAGCCACCACCCAGCTCGACAGGGAGGGAGCAGAGAAAGTAGGACATACAGAATGAAAGAAAGGTAAAAAGCCCAAAGGCAAAACATAGATGAAGAAAAATAGGTTAAATCAAGTTATAAGAGCTAGTGGGACAAGCCAGGACTAAGGCCGAGCATTCATAATTAATAAGTCTCCATGTTACAATTTGGGAGCTGGTTAGTGACCCAAAAGAAAGCCTACTGCAGGTTTCCCTTAGTTCTTTCTTCCACTTCTTTGGGATGTTGGCTAAATCCTTTAATGATTCTGCCCTTCTTTCAAAATTCTTAGGTGAGACATTAGGACTTAGACTTTGCAAAGACTGGAGCTATGTCAAATCATCTTCGAGCCCAGCCGCCACTCTTAGGAAGCAGCTAGCCTGCTAGGCCTATGAGAAAGAAGCCTCTTGACAGTCTACACTCATAAATCTACCTTGTGGGGTTAGGATCCAGATTTGGAAGCGGAGATCTTCAGGTCTGGGTGAAGATGAATCTCTGCCATTTCTGGGCATGCACCCAAAGGATTCTATACTCTACCCCAGAGGCATGGTTCGTCCACACTCCTGTCCCTCACAATAGCAAGGAAATGGAAGGGACCTATCTGTCCATCAGCGGATACGTGGGTAATGAAAATGTGGTGTGTAAACACCATGGGGTTTTTTTCATCAGTGAGGAAAAACGAAATTATGAAATTGGTGGAAAATGGAAGGAGCTGGAATATATTATATTAAATGAGGTTAACCCAGGCCCAGAAAGATAAATGCTGCCCATTATCTCTCAAATGCGGGTCCTAGTTTCTAGTGTGTGTGTGTGCATGTGTGTGTGTGTGTGCATGTGTGTGTGTGTGTGAGTGTGTGTGCATGCATGCACATGTGTGTGTATGAGCATTCATAGAGGCTAGAAAATTAGCAAAGGCCCCAATGAGAAGTGATGTGGCTGTTGGCCAGCCAGAGGGCAGGTGTAAGAGGTAAACATTGGGTTGATTAACTCACCACTCTCTCCAGCTCTTGGCTTATTCCCTGTAAATGGCCCAGCTTTGGAGTCCCTGAGGTGGCTCAGTGGGTTAGGGTGCCTGATGACCCAAAGTATGACTCCTGGGATCCACATGGTGTGAAGAGAGAATCAACCAACTCTCCTGTCTTAGGTTTTCTGCTGCTGTAAAGAGACACAATGACCACAGAACTTTTATAAAGGTGTTGGGAGCTGCAGTTCCCTGGCCCCTTGACTTTCTTTGCCTGCATTAGACCCTTTGCCTGCTGGAGTGAGCTGAACAAAACACCTGTGCAGCAGTTGGATTAATAATCACCAAAGATAATAGGTATTTGAACAAGTTTAATAACAAAACCAGACTCACGAAACCAAGGTTCCAGCGGAGTAGCCGGCGGAGACAGGAGAGAGCGCACAGCATCTGCGCGCCCTATTTATCAGTAAACATACGCCCGAGGGCAGCCTGCCCCCAAGGGGAGGGCTTGTCCCTACACACCTGTGCCTGCAGCTGCTCTGAGCACGAGACCCTGATGGCAGGGGAGTGGGTTCTGATGAGTCTGCAGCTGAAAGACCCCGGGAGCTGGGGCGTGGTCAGTGCCCTATGTAAGCTGCCCGTGAGGACAGTAAAGGGGGCATTCTTGTATGAAGGATGACCTGTGTCCCCGTGTCTCTGTCTGTCTCTCCCTCTCTGTGTTTTAAGTCTCCAGCTTAGTTCCTGGCTTGCTTACCATTTTGTAGTAGCAAGGGTGCTACAGAACCCGTCAGCTTTTTACATGAATACAAACAATCATCTTGGGGGGCTGGTTTTCAGTTTCAGAGGTTTAGTCCATTACCATCATGTCAGGAAGTGTGGGTTGAGCAGGCAGACACAATACTGGAGAAGGGGCCAAGAGTTCTACATTTGGATCACAGGCAGCAGGAAGAGAGTGTGAGCCACTGGGCCTGGCTTAAGCATTGAAACCCCAAAGCTCACCCCTCCAGTGATATATCTCCATCAGGGCCACCCCTATTCCAAGAAGGCCAAACCTGCTAATAGTGCCGCTCTGTATGAGCCTAAAGGGGTCATTTTCATTCAAACCACCACACCCACCTGCACCCCCTGGAACTTGAATGACCATGAACACACAAAATAAAGAATATTTAAAAACTACCCTGTCTTTACAGTGCTCACAGACTAGTATTCGTTGAAGAAAGACCCTGGGGTTTTAACTTATTTGTGTGTGTGTGTGTGTGTGTGAGTGTGTGTGTTGCCTGCACGTACGTCTGCATGCTATTTGCATGCCTGGTTCTTGTTGAGCTCAGAAGAGGACTTCAGACCCTCTGGAACTGGAGTTACAGATGCTTGTGATGCGACGCGTGTGTCCTGGGAATCACACTCTGGTCCTCTGAAACGGCAGACAACGCTGTTAACCTGAGAGCCATCTCTCCAGCCCTGCACACGGGGGTTTTGCTGAGTGATGTAATTTGCGCAGAGAAGACTGACCTCATTCCTGGAAGCTTGTGATCCCAGCCCAGGGAATGGTGCCACCCACAGCTGATGGGTCTTCCCCATCAGTCCCGGCATGGAATGCCCAGACAACCATCTCACAGGTGGTCCTGGAGCTCCTCGAGCTGGCAGTTGAGATGAATCATCACAATCACGAATTACACAGATATTCCCCCGTAAGAGCGCATACTGGCTGCATACTGGCTGTGATCCGTGGCAGGAGCTGAGGCACGGGGAGGCAAGAATGGGAGGGAGTCTTGGGAACTGTTGAATGTTGTACTGTGTGGATGTTAACTGGGCCTAGTGGATAAGTACAGCTAGAACGGATGATAAATACAATGCACACAAAATAAGCGTTCTTTCATTTTAGCAGTTTAAACGTCCCTCAAGGGAGGTAACTGGTTCTTTGGAGAAGCCAATGCAATGCCTTACACGTTCTTGTTTAATTTCCCACCCTCGCTGCTCTGCAAAGGCGTTTCCTCCTTTGCACTGAATGCGTTTACATAGGACACGACCTCAGCGTATTGACCTATGAGATTTAGACCTGGGATTTTGAAATCACCGGCGTAGCGCTGTAGAAGCTTTATGCTCAGGGAGTCGCTGATCCATCAGGACACACTGCCCAGGTGTTTTCCCAGCTGAGCTGCTGGAGGCTGAGGCAGTCTGAGCCTGGAGCTTGCTGGATGTAAACGCGCAGTGCAGCCATAGACTGCAGGGCAGTCTCAACTCCTAGTCATTCTTTAGTGACCACGGATTTCAGACACGTGCCCCAATGCACTCCTCACTTGCAGTAGTTGCAGGCTCACTACTCCAGAGGTGCAGCGGCTGTGGGGGCACGCGCGGGATTAGAACAATACCTTGAACCAAGCGCGAAGTAGTGTGTGCTGAATGAATGAGCGTGTCTAGTGTACTAAATTACCCGGAGAATACCGGAATCCAGTCCGGGGTCACAATGGTGACCTAAAAATACACTGGGGGCAATAGAGTGAGAGGAGGCGTTGGTGGAGAACCACGCTGTCTTTGGTGAGGCTGGAGCCAGCGGATCGCGCTGTTCCTAGGACCAGGCAGGCCCAGGTTGCGGTGACCCATCCCTCAGCGGGCAAGTCTCCAAGGCTGCAAAGCCTTCCTTCAGCTCTAGAGATGACCCGAAGTTAGGTCTCGTGTGTGTGTCTGTGTGTGTGTGTGTGTAGTGGGTTGTTCACGATTGCGACCCCCGCACCGCACTGCGCCGCAGCCCGCAGCGCCCCGGGTGCGCGCAGCCCCAGCCCCGCCTCTTCCCCATGCGCCCCGCCTCTCCCGGCGCGTGCCACCCGTGCACCCGGGGAGCTCGCTAGGAACCCGCGGGGTAGGCGGCCGGTGTCCCGGCGCAGGCGCGCTGGTGTCGCCGTCGCTCCCGCCGGCCGCCCCGCACGCGCCCCCGCCCCGCCTCCGCACGCGCCGCCGCCCCGGGCGCCTGTGATTGGCGGTCAGCGGGGCCCGCAGGTGGCGGCGGCCGCAGCGGCTTAGGCTGGCGCTGGCTGGCTGCCTGGAGCGGGCGACTCCCTCGCCGCCGTGCGCCCTCGTCCTGTCCGCGCTGCCCGGCTCCCACTGTGGCTGCGGCCCCAGCTCGGGAGCACCAGGGATCTGCAGCCTCGCGGTCGCGCCTTAGGGGCTGCGGCAGGTGACCCGGGGCCACCCGAGGCGCGGTGGCCCTGAGCCTGGCCGCCATCCATGAGCCTCGCCGCGGACCTGATTCAGGCCGGCCACCCCGGGTGAGTCCTTGAGCCCTCCCCTCAGCTCCCGCAGCTCGATGCCATGCTCCCCTGCCACGTTGCGGCAACTTTTGGGGTGGGTGTCTGAAGATGTCGCGCGCGCGGTCCCCCGCACCTGGTGCGCGTCCCAGACCTGGGATGCGGGGCATGACAGCCTGCCTCTGCTAAGGGGCTGGTGGGGATTTGAACTTGGCCAGGATGGTGTCATGTCCGCTCCTTTCCGTGGCTGCCGGGGCGGGAGCTGGCCCCTGCGATTCTGCGCTGGCCACGTAGCGCTCGGGCTGCGGTGCACCGCGCACCTTGCTAAGGGACTAGC